CCCCCACACACACACACAAACAGACGCGTACATGCTCCACACTTTACTTTAGATGGGAGGACCCACAGTTGCACCAGCAGGGGATGCAACCCCTTTAGCGGTAGATAAGTGTACTTGAGAACATTTATGTCCAGAAGTGTATTTGGGATCTTCACTTTGTTGTGTCCTTTATCTCTTCCTCCTTTCCTTCCCTAAGAATATCAAAGTTAAAATCCAAATCATTAAGAGAAAGAAATATCTTTTGCATTTGCTGGTCCTCAAATCTGGAACAAATTTCAACAAAAACTGAGTGTTCATAAATCATTAAGTAGCTGATCATCATTTTTAAAGTGATACTATGCATTGCATATTGATAGTTTATGTGGTTACTGTTTTTCATTATTGGTGAGATTTTGGGTATCAAGTGCACTGATATATCATTGAGTTGAAGGATGTCGCATTTTAAACCTAAAAAAATCAACGACACAACTTTACTTGACTGTAGACACTTTATAGTTACAAATTTATACTCCAAGACTGCACACTGTCATGGCCGTCTCTCTTTGCTGTCTTGCAAAGGATGCACACTATGGGCCTTGCCATTGTATCCTAATGAAGGGCAAAACACCAGACTTGTTATAGTCAAGTAAGCTTGGCCTCTTCACCCTTTGCCCTTCATTTGGCTCAAATTGAATCAAATGAAACACTCTAAAGTGAACCCGACATACCTCAGAGCGCTAAAAAAAATAGTGAAATGGTATAAGTTTAACTCCCCTATCAACACTATAAGTTTATTTTAAAAGGCAGGACCTCCGAATCTAATGTCCATCTCCGAAAGGACTGAGCCAGAATAAAGGGAAATTCGTTTAAAGTGCCTTTCCCAAGGACACAACGTCGGACTGAACTGAGGCTCGAACTCCTGAACCCGGAATCTCACAATCACTAACCACTTGGCTACTGATGCCACCTCAGAGTGCTCGGTCTAAGATGTCATAACACGCATCTATGAGCCACACCTACCTTGTCTGCCTGACTGTATGCTCTGTTTATTGCAGCAGCCAGAGCAGTGCCCACTTCCCACTGCAGGGGCGTCGGTTTGCTGCGGAGCTCAGAGGGCTGGGTGGGCTTGGTTAGGGGCGGGTCAGTGGCATGCCCCTCCTCTGAGTAGTACTTCTTAATGACACTGAAGGATAAGACAATAGCAGCCCAAAATGAATCAGCAATGTTGCGTTGCTTTTTAAAAAAAAACAAAGCTCCGTCTATCTGGCATCCTCTCCCATGACTTTTCAGGAATACAAAGTCAGAGGAAAAAAGTAAAATTCATTAAAAAACATATCTCAAGAAATGCCATCTTGTTTGTTAATCTGTAAATTCATCATAATACTCTTAGGTTCCTCATGTGATGTGCACATTATTATTGATTGAGTAGTAAAAGTATGTATAAGTGTCTGTTTAAGTGAGCGTTAATCTAACACAATATGTTTGCACATTCATACACACATATTATTTTTTGTTAAGATGAAGGTATTGTAAAGAACAAAGAGCTGGCATACAGATATGATCTGCATTATCATTATTATTTTCACTAGCATTTTTAATAATATGGAAATAGAAAAAGGTCAGTGAAGAACAGGACAAAGACACAGGGAACACAATCATGATATGTCGATAGGGGCGTAAAACATCATATTGAAGAAGAAAACATGTAGAAAAAACCACTAAGAATGTACCAGATTTTGCTTTCTTAGCGTACTACATTTGAACTGCTTGCCCCCCTCCTCCATTTTTATCACTTAATCCATTTTATTTATCCTTACTGCTTTGAAATAGTTTGTCCCAAAATGTTTTAGAATCAATGATTTTGTACTCCTTTGATTCAGTTTTTTCTACAACAACAAACAGAAAGTGAATGAAATAATTAGCTTTGTCTATATTTTTCTATTTTCAGGATATGACGCACATCAGCAGCACAAAGTGGATTGGGATCATAGACTTAAGTTATAATATTCTTGACCGCAGGCTGCCATGGCTGTCCTTTTTTCCTGCCAATGAAAGCTTTGCTGTGAAGCGTGCACACTATGGGCCTCTAAATGAAGGGCAGAACAGCAGTCACTCACTCGTATGTCAGGTTGAATTCTTGGATGTGTCCAATCACAGGGGCATCCCCCAGGCTGTGCTCACAGTTCAGGCCGAAGTGTCCGTCGGTCATCACCACCACCTGGTTTACAGCATGACAAAATGGGGGGAATTCAGATTATTCATTTGTTTTTTTCTTCAACAGAATGCAGATTATGAATTGTTTTTTTTAAGGGGGGGTGGGGTGGATGAGGGATTATCCAAAATAAAATTATTAAAATAAATGTAATTGTTTTAAACCCCCATCAACACAATTTAGATAATTAATAAGGTAGCGAGCTCCGAACCCTTCTGTTAGGGCCAACCCAGGCTGAAAGGGATACAACACCCCAGCATAAAGACTGAAAAACTCCATAGAAATTCTCCTCAAATGGAAATTGAACTAAGGTCTTTTGTGTGCCACGGCAAGGCAAGATACCCCATACGCTGGCGGATGGGGTGGGTGCGGGGGGCGAGTTCAGATTGACATAACTTACACATGTAGTATAGAATATAAATAATGGAGTGACATACTTTGTTTTGTGCAAGTACCTTACTAATACACTTCTTCACACAAAGAGCATTAGATTGTGACAAAATAGGTTATCTCCAATATTTGTATTCCCTGCCCTTTATTTGACTCAAATTCAATCAATTGGCGCACTTCATAGTGAACCAGGTTTATTTCAGAGTGCTTGGTCCAAGATATCATTATAATGCACAAGTCTTAACTGTATGAACAATAAATAGCATATGAACCATGTGGACAAAATATTGTGCATTGGTGGGATGGAAAGAATCAGTGTTTTTGTTGTTTTACCTCGATAGACTTGTCAAACCAGTAGGTCCCTGTCTTGCCATGCAGAAGGTGAGTAGCACGAGACGACAGGTCATCGTAAGAATGAGTGTCAAGGACAATCTGGAACCAAAAACAAATTCAAGGATCCGTCAGCATGAGGTACCTCGTAAAATAAAATGCTCCTACTCACAAGTGCATGCAATCTTCCATAGGTTCCTCCATATATCCTAATATCAACACTCACACCCCTTCTCTTTCCCTCCATTTCTCTCTATCACCCCACACATGCACATACGTACACATACACTCATGACACCAACCCCCTCCCCC